TTGTACTAACTCTGCACACCTGATTAAATCTCAACCCAGGGCTTTGGAAGTGACAGAACAATAGCTTCTGTGCCAGCTCGCTGACATGTCATTTAGCGCTCATTTGGGTGGCCATCAATCAGGAGTGTTTCCTCAGGTTCCTGCCTTTAATTGTAAGAGGCAGGGGTGTTGGTGGTGGTTGTTACAGGAAAAGTCTGGAAAGACGAGTCATTGTTTTTATGGGAATTACAGCCTTGGAAGAAACAGAAGCAGTGAATAAAACGGACCCCCTTTGCAGATGGGCAGGGTGAGGAAGGAGGGGTGGAGGGAGTTGCACAATATTCTTTCCAGCCTTCTGAGGAATGGAGCATGGCTTCAGAAGCGCTGAATCACCAAGCGAGAAAGCAACTTCCTTCCCAGTTTTTTTCTCAAGCTTGTGATTACTTTAAAGAGGAAGTCTCAATTCTGTGCTACTCTTTCTTTAGCATCTCACAAATGCTTCTAAGAGAACACAGGCCTCCAGCTGGAACCCTTCCAAGCAGCACTAGTAACTAGAAGACAATGCCATTGTTTCATTTCCAGTAAATTTATTTTTGTATTAACTTTCTATTTATTGCAAGTGAATTTTTTTTTCTATTTCCAATGACAATATAAGATTTCCTTTAAAAGTGAATATATTAGAGGGGCCAGCAGGTGGCATGGAGACTAATGCAGCTGGATCCCACGTGACCAACCGTGCAGTTCAAGTCCTGGACTCCTCAGTGGCGTGTAAAGCGTGCCGGGCGTGTGTGCATGTGTGCCCAAAGTCTCAAGAAGAGAAAGGATTGGGGTGTAGTTATCTCCCCGGAGGGTCATTTCTTACTTTCCCATTCTCTCTCTCTTTGTCTATATGTCTCTCTCTAGCAAATACAAGCGCCTTTTAACTAACTAATGAATCAATCAATTAATATATTAGAATTTAAAAACTCAAAGCAAGTAATTAACCAAATAAAGTACAGAGTCACCCAAACAGAGTACAGACAGTTAAAGCAACAACAAAGAAAGCATGTGATTACGGTGTCCAGGTTGACTGACTTTTGGAAAACACCGGCCTAAAAAGCAGAAAGTAAGGAAAGGAAGCTGAAGTCCTGGAGTTCCTGGATGTAAAACTAAGCCTGTCGGTGATCTGACCCACTCATTCACTATTCAGTACAATGATACTTTTTAAAAAACCTTTTACTTTCCTCGATTTTGCAGATTCCAGAAAGACATTGGAAATTGAAGCTTTAAGGAGAGAATGTCATTTTCAGATACTCTGACTTATTTCAAGGAATGATGCCAAAAACTTGAAAAGGTATTTTTAACCACTCATTTGAATTTAATCTTTTCAACTGCTATGCCTTGAGGGAACTAAAGCTAGGAATCTTAAGCTGGGTCATAGAATTTATCATGATAGAAAAAACTGAGTTAGTATCTAATATCGGAGTACTTTTTTTTTGGACGAGTAGCTAATCAGACTATTTCCTTTTTTTTTTTTTCTTTTTTTTTTGGGGGGGGGGTTGCTATAGGGCACGTGCGCTCACCAGAAAGACAGAGACATAGAGACAGAAAGCGAGAAATCACTCCCCAGGGGGGATGGTCACGCCGCAATCCCTGCTCCTCCATTCTTCTCTTGGGATCTTGGGCACACACGCACACGCACCCGGTGTGAGTTTAAGCCTCCGGGTCTGGGACATGAACTGTGATTGGCTACATGGGAGTCCCACAACATAGACTTTACTCCAACTGCTGGTCCCCATGCACAAGCTTTTTAAGGCTTTCCATGGAGAGGCCGCTCCTGGTCGTCTACCACGGGAGCTCTAGCTAGCTCTCCCATTGCCTCCTGCACTTCTGCCCTCCTCTGTCCCCACATGGCCATTCCTTCTCACTTCATTGTCCAGGTGCTGTATTTTTTTTAAAGAAATATTTAATTTTATTCATTATTATTATTATTACTATTACTATTTAAAAATTTGACCAGAGAGAGACAGAGAGAGGGAAAGTGAGGAAGTAAGCTGCTAGTTCTGGGACTCAAACCATGGTCAGTCACATGGGAGTCCAGCACCTTAACTACCACGCCACCTGCCAGCCCCTGCCCAGGTGCTTTTATCTAACAGACAGACTCTGTGCAGGTATGTGCCCAGCTGCGGGGGAGGAGGGTGCCATGGCACAGCCCCAGATGGGCAGGAATGACTGAGACTTCGCTGTCCCCAGGTTGCCTGGCTCTGGCCACCAGAGGAGACTTCATTCTGGCTCGCTGTCTCTGGCTGTCTCTGTTGTACTCAGACCTTTTCTCCTACCAATTCCCATAGTTCCTCTGTTCCCAACTTTGGCTGCACTCCTCACTTTGGGGATGCAGAAACCTCCCCTCCCAGGTCACCTTGCTCTGTAATATAATACGTGTTTCCATTTCTATGCCAGTCCAGGAATGAGGCATACTTTTCCTTATAAGAAACAAATAATGCTAATTAAGTTTTTTTTAAACCAAAGGATTGGCTATCTGTGGTCACCCACACTAATAACATAACCCACAAGCAGAAGCAAGTATGTTTAAACGTTTTTTTTTTTTTTTTTTGCTATAGAAATGTGTGCGCTCACCAGATGGAGACAGAGAAAGGAGAGAGACGGGGGCTGGGGGAGTGGCCACACTGCCATCCCTTCTCTTTCATTCTCCTCTCAGGATCTTGGGCACGTATGCACACGTGCCTGGTATGTTTTTTAGCTGCTATATTCAGGACTTGAACCATGGGAGATCCATTCACCTTAACTATCATGCCACCTGGCTGGCCCTGTTTTTTTTTTTTTTTTTTTAATCTCTAATGCATCTCAGACAGAAGGCAAACACATGCACCCTGCTGCTATACAGAGATGGACCTCATGACCGATTGGAGGTGGAGGAATTATTCTGTGGCAGGTGTTTAGTTTGGTTTCAAGTTTCTTTCTTTTGAGAGAGACAGACAGACAGATGGGTACCCTGTCAAGGGCCATGCCACCATCTCCCCCAGCTTTTTAGCTAGACAGGATTACGGACATGCCTGTGGGCCTACCCAGCGTGGTCAGAATGACCTGGAATCTAAACCCAGAGCCTTCCCATGAGTCTCCAGTACCGCACAGCAGCGGCCTGTCACTCACGCCACTGTGGCTGGGCCTCTCCATGGCATTTGCTTTGTTGATGATCTCATTTATCTCTTTAGGAGCCATCCAGAAGAAGCAGGACCCTGGAGGGCTGAGTCCTGACTGCCCTTCTGCCAGGAAGACATGCAACCAAAGATGAACTTGGGCAACGTTGCTACTTTAACTATGGAAAAGCAGGGCCACAGTGAGATGGAAGCAGTCCCACCAAATTCTCACTCCTACATTAAATTGTTGAAAATCAACCGCGAACTTCTGGTCACGCACATCCGGAACACTCGGTGTCTGGTGGACAACTTGCTGGAGAATGACTACTTCTCGGTGGAAGATGCCGAGATTGTGTGTGCCTGCCCCACCCAGCCTGAAAAGGTGCCGTGACAGGGATTGGTTGGCATTGGCCGCATGTGAGAGGCTTCTCCCCACTGGCCTGAGAAAATCGTTCTGGGAGTTTGGTACTTTGGACAGAATTCTGCTTTTTTTTTTTTTTTAATTTAATTTAATTTATTTATTATTATCCTTTGACAAGAGAGAGAAAGCAGAATTTCATTTTATTAAATTTTAGATTTGCTACAGGATGTGTGTGCTCACTAGAGAGACAATGAGACAGGGAGAGAGTGAGAGAAAGTGAGAAATCACCCCTGGGCAGGGGCTGGTCATGCCACAATCCTTTCTCTTCCATTCTCCTCTCGGGATGTTGGGCACACACATGTGCCTTGCATGCCTTTTAAGCCACCAGATCTAGGACTTAAACCGCACTGGTCATGTGGAATCCAGTCCCCTAACCACGGTGCAACTGGCTGGCGCCCCACTGAGGTTATGGTAGAACGTCACTGCTTGAATTGCTAGCTTATCACACAATCAAGTATTTCATTTTTGAGTTTGTGTCCAGAGCAAATTCTCACGCCTCAGCCCTTGCTGCTGTGTGTATTGGTTCCCAGACAACTCATTTTCAAATCCGGTGTAAGTTGGAAGGGGAGGAAACAGGAGAGGAGCCTAAGAAACCAAGGGCGGCGTGCTTTCTGTGTGTTTACATTCTGGAGGTCCGCTCTCTGCTGGGCAGGGCTCGGGGGCATTACCTCTGGCTCAGGAATGGCCACATCCCACGGTGAGGCACTCCCCATGCTCCACTGGAAGACTTTCTTTTTTTTTAAATTATTAAAGGAGAGCAACACAAGCCCTTTCCAATCTTTTTTTTTTTTTTTTAAATTTGTCAGAGGGCACACGCACGTGCCAGAAAGACAGATGGAAAGAGGAAAGCATCCCCAGTGGGCATGATCACACTACAGTCCCTTCTCTTCCATTTCTCCATGCCTGCCCAAGCCACCAGGGCCAAGACTTCAACTACTGGGTTGGCCATGGGAGACTGAGCTCCCTTAACCATAGGTCACAGGCTGGAAAGTCTTTTTTTTGGGGGGTGAGGGTGGCAGGGAGAGGTTTTTGCTATAGGGCACGTGGGTTCGCCAGAAAGACAGAGACAGAACGTGAGAAATCACCCCCCAGGGGGGATGACCACATCGCAGTCCCTTCTCCTCCATTCTCCTCTCGGGATCTTGGGCAAGCACACGCACGCACCGAGCGAGTTTAAGCCACCGGGTCCGGAACTTGAACTGTGGTCGGCTACGTGGGAGTCCAGTGACATAGCCATTTACACCAACTGCTGATCCCTAGGCTTTAAAGTCTTCATAGTCTTCATTTTACTTAATCTTTGTGTAATCTTCCTAAAATAAAATTGAGACCAAATACTCCTTGGGTAGAGGAACCTATGTAGGGTCTGTCTAGGGCTCAGAAGAGACCAGAAGTTTCTGGGGGCAACCCTGGAGTATACTTGTGTGCTTTGGTCTCCTCTCTTGATTTTTTGCTGTATTTCTAATAACAAAAAAGCCATCTGTAGTGCGTTACTCACAAGGAACTTCTGACCCCTTGCCGTGTGGCCTAGCTGACTACTTCATAATGTCCAAGGCGTGGCCTCTGCCCTGTCCACACTCCTCTCAGGGCAGCAGTGTGTCAGTTTAAGGGGAAAAGGACTGGTAAGTGGCATGGTGGTTAAAGGCGCTGGATTCTCACATGGTCGACCATGGTTCAACTCCCGAACTTGGCAACTTGCTTTCTCACTTTCTCTTTCTCTCTCTCTCTGTCCCTCGCTGGTCAAATTGAAATAAACAAATGAATAAATAAAGTTAAATCAAATAATAAATAAAAAAAGAAAAAGGAGACAAATTGGATTCTGTGGTGGACATGGCTCTAGCTATGAGTGTGATCTTTTTATTTTGGATTCATAGATGCTTCCTGGTTTCTTTTTTAAAAAGAATTATTTATTTAATTTTATATTATTTTTATTTTTTCAGTTTGCTCTAGGGCACATGTACTCACCACAGAGACAGAGAGAGAAAGAGAGAAAGTGAGAAAGCAAGCTGCTAGATCTGGGACTTGATCCATAGTTGGCCTCATGGGAGTCCAGCACCCTAACCACCACGCCACCTACTGGCCCACTTCCTGGAGTGTGGTTTTAGTTCTTGCCCAAGAGGTCCATTTCACAGTCTAGACCTCTAGTGTGTAGACTTGCCAAGCTGTAGTTAGAGCTCAGAGTCCTGCCCTGGGCCACCTGGGTTCTGCCGTGGGAGGAGGCTCCTGCCAGCTCACATTCTTGTGCTTATGCTGCTCCCAGGTCCGCAAGATTCTGGACCTGGTCCAGAGTAAGGGCGAGGAGGTGTCTGAATTCTTCATCCACGTGCTCCAGCAACTCACAGACGCCTACGTGGACCTCAGGCCCTGGCTGTCGGAGATCGGCTTCTCCCCTTCCCAGCTCATTCAGAGCAAAGCTGTTGTCAACACCGACCCAGGTACGAGCCAGCCCCGAGGGCCTGCAGGGCCTTGGAAACGCTGTATAGTTAGGCCCAGCCGGGCACAGATGTGTGGGCCACCTCACTGAGCTCTGCATTCCGCCTCAAGAAGCAGGCCTGGGTCTTGTCACCCCTGGGCAGCCCAGGTGACTCGATTGAGCGGGTCTGGGTAATTCAGGAGTCCCAGAACCTGGTGGGAGAGAGGTAGAGATGAATCTGGAAATGTGCACAGGGGTCCGTTTTTGTTCATTGAATTGTAGTTAAATTCCAAACATTATTTATTTATTTATTTATGAGTTTTTTTTTCTACTGGGCGCGTGCACTCGCCAGACAGACAGAGAGAGGCAGAGAGACAGAATGCAAGAAATCACCCCCCAGGGGGGATGGTCACGCCGCAATCCCTTCTCCTCCATTCTCCTCTCGGGATCTTGGGCATGCACGCACACGCGCCCAGCGTGAGTTTTAAGCCACCGGGTCCGGGACACGAACCATGGTCGACTACACAGGAGTCCAGCGACATAGCCATTATGCTAACTGCTGGTCCCAAACATTATTTATTTTTTTAATTGCCTGAGGGGAAGTGCAGTTGCCAGAGAAAGAGAAACAGAGACCGAGAAGGAAAGAGTCCCCCCAACGGGAGGGGGCGTGGTCATGCTGCAATCCTTTCTCTCATTTCTCCATCCTGTCGGGATTTGGAGCATGCCTGCACACGTACCTGGTGTGTTTGTCAAGCTGCTGGGCCCAGGACCCAAACAACCATTAGCCATGTGGGATCCAGCTCCCTTAACCACTAGGCCATGGGGCTGGACTCAAAAACTATTGTAACGGAATCGATGGAACACCCTCTTGTTCGTGGGAGAACCATGCCCCTTTGGTGTAAGCGCCATTTTGGCTGCTCAGGTGTGCGGGGAGCACAGCACAAGGTGAGCATTTCCTGCATCTCAACCCCAGTGGGCTCACAGGACCCACCCTGTGTGAGTGCTGGAAGCGGGCAGCAGGAGCAGGCCTGTGTGCTCTGAGCAGGACAAGGCTGGTTTTCATCTCAGTCCACTGACTTTTAGAGGAGCACTGCTCTGCTGTAATCCAGACTAGCAGTCTACCTGTCACCTGAGGCCCTGGGGCTGCCTGCTGCTTCGAGAGCAGTGCCGTCAGCGGGGCAAAGGCGAATACTTCCTTGACGATGAGACTTCAGTGGGGACTGGCTCATGCTGTTTGAGCACCCCTGGGGAGAGGTGGGCAACAAGACCCACCATTGGGCCTGGAGCCAGGGTGAGGGGGCTTCTGTTTCTCGCTGGGGTTTAGTGACAACATGGTGCAGAGTGGTAAGGGAGTTCTGTCCCAGACACTGATCCCACGAGTCTGTCGCCCTCTGACTGGTTGACTCTGAGGCCCAGGAGAGGGGCAGAAGCCTGGGGCCCTCAGCTTCTGAGTGCTGGCTCCCAGAGGCTCTGCAGGGCCTGCCTTTGAGGGGTGGCTGCACTCGGGCTCCTGGTAGGGGTGTGGCTGGCCTCTCCTCCTTGAGCCCTCCCTGTCTGATGCGTTTCCATTCTGTCTCTGCCTCCTCCTCTCATGGCCACTGTGCCCTCCTGTCCTCCCTGCAGTGAGCGGGTACACACAGCAGCTGCGACAGCAGCTGGGCCGCGACTCCCAGTTCACACTGAGCTACAGCCAGAAGGAGGAGCTGCTGCTGGAGGAGACATACACCGACACCCTCATGGAGCTGGTCGGCCTGAACGACGAGAGCCTCGGCAGCCTGGACAGCCCGGCCCACCTCCTGGACCCCACCACGGGCGTCCTCAACGAGCAGGGAGAGGTCGTGTTCATCTTCGGCGATGCGGGAGTGGGCAAGTCCATGCTGCTGCAGCGGCTGCAGAACCTCTGGGCCAGCGGCCAGCTGGAAGTGAAGGTCAAGTTCTTCTTCCACTTCCGCTGCCGCATGTTCAGCTGCTTCAAGGAGAGTGACGCGCTGTGTCTGCAGGACCTGCTCTTCAAGCACTTCTGCTACCCCCAGCAGGACCCTGAGGAGGTGTTCGCCTTCCTGCTGCGCTTCCCGCACATGGCTCTCTTCTCCTTCGACGGCCTGGATGAGCTGCACTCCGACTTCGACCTGAGCCGTGAGCCTGACTGCTCATGCCCCTGGGAGCCCGCCCACCCTCTGGTCCTCCTGGCCAGCCTGCTGAGTGGCAAGCTGCTCAAGGGGGCCGGCAAGCTGCTCACAGCCCGCACAGGCACCGAGGTCCCGCGCCAGCTCCTGCGGAAGAAGGTACTCCTCCGCGGCTTCTCTCCCAGTCACCTGCGGACCTACGCCAGGAGGATGTTCCCGGAGCGGGTGGTGCAGGACCGCCTGCTGCACCAGCTGGAGGCCAACCCCAACCTCTGCAGCCTCTGCACCGTTCCCCTCTTCTGCTGGATCATCTTCCGGTGCTTCCAGCACTTCAATAGTGCCTTCGAGGGCTCCCTGCAGCTGCCGGACTGCACGGTCACTCTGACCGATGTCTTCCTGCTGGTCACAGAGGTCCACCTGAACAGGACCCAGCCCAGCAGCCTGGTGCAGCGAAACACGCGCAGCCCGGTGGAGACCTTGCGAGCCGGCCAGGACACCCTGCGCTCCCTGGGGCAGGTGGCCCACCAGGGCATGGAGAAGAGCCTGTTTGTCTTCAGCCAGGAGGCGGTACAGGCCTCAGAGCTGCAGGAGGGAGGCCTGCAGCTGGGCTTCCTGCGGACGGTGCAGGAGCTGGGCCCCGGAGGTGACCAGCAGTCCTACGAGTTTTTCCACGTCACCCTTCAGGCCTTCTTTGCAGCCTTCTTTCTTGTAGTAGATGACAAGGTGGGCTCTCAGGGGCTGCTCAGATTCTTCCAGGAGTGGGCACCACCCGGGGAGGCAGCAACCACATCTTGCTATGCCCCCTTCCTCCCTTTCCAGTGCCTGGGGGACAGCGGCCTGGCCAGGGAGGACCCCTTCAGAAACAAGGATCACTTCCAGTTCACCAACCTTTTCCTGTGCGGGCTGCTGTCCAAAGCTAAACAGAAACTCCTGCGGCACCTCGTGCCCGTGGCCACACTGCGCAGAAAGCGCAAGGCCCTGTGGACACACCTGTTTGCCAGCCTGCGATCGTACCTGCGGAACCTGCCCCGGGTGCAGTCTGGGGGCTTCAGCCAGGTGCAGGCCATGCCCACCTTCATCTGGATGCTGCGCTGCATCTACGAGACGCAGAGCCAGAGGGTGGGGCGGCGGGCGGCCGAGGGCATCTGCGCCAACTACCTCAAGCTGACCTACTGCAACGCCTGCTCGGCTGACTGCAGCGCCCTCTCCTTCGTCCTGCACCACTTGCGCAAGCAGCTGGCCCTCGACCTGGACAACAACAACCTCAATGACTTCGGCGTGCAGGAGCTGCAGCCCTGCTTCAGCCGCCTCACTGTCATCAGGTGAGGCCACTGGACAGGGGCGCAGCCGACGGACTGGGTGGCCCGGCTGGGGGGCACCAGGCCTGGCACCGTGGATCTAGATCCCCCCGATCTGCTGGTACCATAGGACTCATGACTACTGGTCTTGAACGTCCTGACCTCCTCCTCAGTGGGTTGAGGACAAGGAGCTGAGTTTCAAGTCCAGTGGACCTGGTCAGCCCCAGCTGGGGTGCCTTGGCCAAATTGCTTAACCTCTCTGAGCCTCAGTTTCCTCAGCTGGAAAAAGGAGATGCTCCTAACCATAGCAATTGTAGGGTCACAGTCAGGGGTTGTGGAGAACAGAAGGGCATTGCATATGCGACCTTCATGCTCCTTAACCAGGTGAGTCAGCTCTGCAGCCGAGGCGTTAAGAAGGCAGATCCCACATAACTGACTAATTCGAGCCCAAGTCCTGCAACTTAAAAGACAGGATAGGCACGTGTGCTTACCCGCCCCAAATTCCTACAGGATGAAGAAATGGAGGAGAAGGGATTGCAGCATGACCACACCCCATTAGGGGGTGCTTTCTCCCTCCCCCTTTCTTTCTGGTGAGTACATGCCCTCTGACAATTAAAAAGAAAGGCAAATGCAAAACAAACCAAAACGAAAATCCTGGATACTGTTATTGTCTCCATTTTGGCATACACGGAAGCAGAGGTGCAGAGAAGTTAATAACTTATTAACTGGGGTCACGCAGCCACCCTACGTTAGGGTACATAAAGACCCTGTGTTGTAAAATGAACATAAATCCTGGTGGTTAAGGTGGCTGGATCCTACAGGGCTGACTGCATGATTTGAGCCCCAGACCTGGCGGCTTGAGAGAGGTGCCAGGCACGTGTGCATGTGTGCCCAAATTCCCCAGAGGAGGGAGAAGTGGAGAAGGGATTGTTATGTGACCATGCCCCAGGAGGGGTGCTTCCTCACTTTCCCTTTCTCCTCTCTCTTTCTGTCTCTCTCTGATAAGCGCGCACACACACACACACACACACACACACAACAGGATGAAGAAATGGAGGAGAAGGGATTGCAGCATGACCACACCCCATTAGGGGGTGCTTTCTCCCTCCCCCTTTCTTTCTGGTGAGTACATGCCCTCTGACAATTAAAAAGAAAGGCAAATGCAAAACAAACCAAAACGAAAATCCTGGATACTGTTATTGTCTCCATTTTGGCATACACGGAAGCAGAGGTGCAGAGAAGTTAATAACTTATTAACTGGGGTCACGCAGCCACCCTACGTTAGGGTACATAAAGACCCTGTGTTGTAAAATGAACATAAATCCTGGTGGTTAAGGTGGCTGGATCCTACAGGGCTGACTGCATGATTTGAGCCCCAGACCTGGCGGCTTGAGAGAGGTGCCAGGCACGTGTGCATGTGTGCCCAAATTCCCCAGAGGAGGGAGAAGTGGAGAAGGGATTGTTATGTGACCATGCCCCAGGAGGGGTGCTTCCTCACTTTCCCTTTCTCCTCTCTCTTTCTGTCTCTCTCTGATAAGCGCGCACACACACACACACACACACACACACACACACATGATGAATGTGAGTCCCAACACAAAGTAATACCATGTAAAATATTTGAGATGGCGACTCGAATTGCCCTGATTTGATTAATTTTCAGAGTTGTTTGTTTGCCTTAGGGAGCGTGCACTCACTGGAGGGAGAGACAGACAGATGATAAGAGGGAAAGTGAGAAATCACCCCCCACGAGGGATGGCCATGTGATAATCTCTTCTCCTTCATTTTCCTCCCAGGATCTTGGGCACGCACGCACATGCCCCCAGTGTGAGTTTCAGGCCACCAGGTCTGAAACTCGAACTACATTCAGCCATGATGTGGGAGTCCAGTGACCTAACCACTACTCCTTCTGCTGGTCCCTGCTGTGATCATTATACATTGTATTCAGGTACTGAAAAATCAGTATACCCCACAAATATGTGCAATTATTATGTATTTTTTAAAAGATTATATAAGGCACACCGAAGGCTGCCCATGAAGTTTCTGGCACATGGGTCTGCTACGTGGAGAGAGCAGACCTCATCTCCCGGGCAGTGGCCATCTTCCATGATCCCCACCAGCAGCCAGGCACTGCCAGAGAGCAATCAGGGCACTGACCAATGCCATTTCTCCTTGTGATGGTTTAGAGGCCGGTCTGCTTGTTTCTGTTAGCATTTCCTGTAGTAAGTCCAGCTTGTACATCTTACAGGGGCTTGGCACATGCAATTTTTTTTTTTTAGTTTTTGTTGTGTTTGTTTTTGCTGTAGAGTGTATGCACTTACCAGAGAGACAGAGAGACAGAGAGTGAGAAGTCACCCCCTGGGGGAATAGCCACACTGTAATCCCTTCTCCTCCATTCTCCTGGGATTTGGGGCATGCACGCACATGCACCCGGAATGTGTTTTAAGCCATCAGGTCCAGGACTCGAACCGTGGTTGACTGCATGGGAGTCCAGCAACGTAACCATTATGCCATGCATTTCTGAGGAGCAGAGGGTAGTTGGAGCTACTTCCCCATGCTCATTGCTCCAGTGCCAGAGTGGAACTTGTGAGGGGACATGGGGTGCAGCACGGAAGGTGGCCTTGGCCTGGAGTCTGTCCTCTGCACTCAGCCAGCCACTCTCCTGCACAGCTGTGGGCCGTCCCATGCCTGCCTGATGAAAGGGAAACTGGCTAGCGAGGTGGTCCTGCCCCATTCTGCTGTCCCCAGGTGGTGTTTTCCTCCACACCCATGAAAGCAGCAGCAACTTGCAGGGAAGTCAGGATGTGGGCAGCTCTGTCCTCCCTGAGGGCACCAATTAGGATTCGTTTGGGCTGTGAGTTAGAGAACATCCCAAACCTCGGTGGCTTAAATAAGTTGCATGCTGATTTCTCTCTTATGCGAAAGCCTAGATGTAGGCCATTTAGAACTAGTACAGTGCCTCTCAGCCACCAGCACGGGCTCTCTTCTGCCTTGGTGCTCTGCTGTCCTTACTACCTACCTTTTACCTCATGGCCCAAAATAGCTGCTCAAGCTCCAGCCATCTAGTGGAGCAGAGCTTCTAGCCACTAGGAAGAAGGAAGGGCAAAAAACAGCGTATCCCTTTCTTTGAAGACGACTTCTCAAGTTTTGCTAATGACACTGCTGCTGTGGTTTCACTGGACAGGACTCCGTCTACGTGCCCAGCTAGAGCACGGGGAGTCTGTTAGTAGGAAAGCATAGATGTTGGCCAGAACTAATAGCCTGGGTTGGCCGTGCAGTGTATGTGCACACCATGGGGAAAGGGCCCAGCATGTCAGACATGATCTTTTCTTTTCTTTTTTAAAAAGTTTATTTATTCCATGAGTGAGAGTGAAAGAGACAGAGAAAGACATGGCGAGAGAAAGAGCGACAGACACAGCACGGTGACGGGGTTTTGATCCCAGCCTTTGCTAGCCTGGATCCTGGGCACGAGCCTGCCTGGCAGACTCAGGGAGATCTCTGGATGTGAACCCTGCACCTTCCTGTGTGGGCTGGCCTTACAGAGCCCTGGGTTTTACCCCTACCCTGCTGTCTGACTTGAATTGATCTTTTTTTTTGGGGGGGAGAGGTTTTTGCTATAGGGCGTGTGCGCTTGCCAGACAGACAGAGAGAGACAGAGAGAGAGAAAGCAAGAAATCACCCCCCAGGGGGGATGGTCACGCCGCAATCCCTTCTCCATTCTCCTCTCGGGATCTTGGGCACGTATGCACACGTGCGCAGTATGAGTTTTAAGCCACCGGGTCCGAGACGCGAACTGCAGTCGACTACGTGGGAGTCCAGCGACATAGCCATTATGCTAACTGCTGGTCCCTTGAATTGATCATTTTGATGTGGCCCCAAACTCAAGTTTTTCGGGACCAGCAGATAGCATAATGGCTATGTCGC